TTTTTTTTCAAGGCGATGAAGTGAATAGGTATGAATAGATCCTTATCGTAATGTTCACGCTAGGTTGCATCATCTTTTAGCTGTGAAATTTTGGTGATGTTGGACTCGTTCGTTTGATTGAATCTGATGAACTCGCGTCATTTATCTTTTTCAGATTCTTGATACCGCGTTGTACGTGGAGTGATCGTTGGAATGTAGGCGATGCGAATTTTCCAGAAAAATACGATATTCTTGCGAGATCATCTACTAAACTTGGACTTTAGGATATGTTCAAAAATGCGCGTCCATCTGTTGGGGGTGTTGGCTTGAGACTTATGCAAAAGATGGGCTGGAGACCTGGTGAGGGACTCGGCCCTGATGGTATGGGCAATCTTGAACCTCTAGTGTTGGATGTGAAGAATGATAGGAAGGGTTAGTTTTTTTGAATTGTTTATGATTGAAAAAGAAATGAATATTCAGGTTTGGTGGCCCAGGATGATGTTGGCGCTAAAGGAGGGGCTAAAAGTGCTGGAGATGTAGTCGGTCAGTGGTTTCAATTCGTTCCAATTTTACGATTGTGATTGTTCTTTTTTTCCTTGAAAATAGCTTCTTTTCAGTAGCATCATATGTTGAATGCGGTAATAAATACCTTTTTTAAGCAGCGAAGCATCCTGTCTCCATGGTCATGGAACTTTGCGCAAAACGTAAATGGTTGGCTCCACAATTTATTAGTCATGAATCTGGTCCATCCAACATGAGAGAGTTCAGATGCACAGTAAGATTCGATTTGGTCCTGAAAAGACATTTTTTATCTTTAATCATTCAGGCTATCGTCAATGGCGTTGAGTATAAGTCTGATATCATATCCCGCAGCAAGAAGGACGCGAAATTAGTAGCTTGTCAGGTAATATTTCGGTAATTGTAAATTATTTGTTTGTTGAGCTGAAAACATTTTCGTAAAGGCATTCTCAATAGATTTTGTATTTTTACTTTACGGTAATTATCACTTTTTTCAGATAGTTCTACAATCCCTTGGCCTTGTACCTCGTGATGCATCATTACCGGTTGTTATATAGTGTAGTACAGCATTTC